ATATTTCAGACACTGGTTTTTGAGCCTGGGGTCTGCATATAGAAAAGTGCAATAATGTAAGTAGTGAACAGTAATTTTCAATGCAGAAGCCACTTAATTTTCAGTGAAAGTTTTACTTGTTTCCCCCACAGATTTCTACTACTGAAGTGGAAGTTCTTATGACTCGACTCCAGCATACTTTCAAGCAAGAGCTGAGTGGTGTTGGGGCTAGCCTGGAAAAAAGATGGAAATTTTGTGGCTTTGATGGACTGAAAATGACTTGAACTTTCAGCTTGGCTGTAATTCAGCATTGAAAATAATCTTAAAATTTGTGCATCAGGCGAACTAGGATGTTACTGTAATTCCAGTTGCAATGGTTATCATGCATAACTGAGATACTTTTTCCGGAATATCATATGACCAATTTAGGACAAACCTAGAAGAAAGTACGTGGAAGAAATGTGAATTAAACCTCAAGTGCTGTACCTTTTTGTTCAGTTGTCTATTGTTAATGAGCAAGTTCTGATACTTAAGGACAGTCTAATATGTTCTACAGACAAAGTCTATGCCACTGGTTGAGTCTTTGATATTTTTAAGCACAGATACCAACTAAACAAAGTTTTGATAATTTATGTGTGTTTTGTTTCTCTAAAAATCTTTCATTCTGTACGTGTTCCTACTACTGAGAACAGCCATAGAATTTGATATGCATATTAAATAAGCTTCTAACATTATTGAAAGAAAAAAAATCAGTATTTTATATATTTATATGTTAGAAATGTTATGTGTTTTAAAACAGAAAAAGAGTTTTATGGGATTTTGCTGAATAACTAGAAGCCTAAATGTTACTTACTTTTCAAAGTTATTTTCTCTACTACACTAGGTAGCTGACTTTTTCAAAGTTAAAGTTAAACTAGATTAAAGGTAAAATGGCAGCCATGCAGTGACTGCCATGTGCCCACCTTGTGCAGAATCATTTTGTAATTAACATGCTTTTAAAGGGAAAGGGCATTTAATTTTCTATAAATCTGGGCAGGGGGAGGGGGCCAAGTTAATCCCTGTATTTTAGTAACCCTCTCCTTTGGGTTTACTATCAAATTTGTGTACTGCTACCTCTTGCTACCCTTGGGCTGAGTTGCTGTAAGTGTCATAAATAGCATGTTTCTCTCCTGAATGTTTCCAAAAAGTTGATCTGTGCATTAATGGCAGCATCCAGGCTCCTCAAACCAAGAACCAGCATGAGTTATGCCAACACCGCCTGCCATAGGGAACTTGTGCCTCTAGGAGGGCACACCCTGGAATGGCGGCATACACAGTATCCTCCCCAATGCCGGCTGAGACAGCCAGTGGAACTGTTACCATTGTCTCTGCAATTTAGGCTGTCCTGGCCTGTAGTGCTTTGGCAAATATGTCACTCACTGTCACAAATCTTGGTACTTCTGGAGATTAAACTGGAAGTGAGTGGAACCTCTTCCAGGTAAGCATTTGTAAATGCTTGTGCTGCTGTCATCAAAAGCTGTATTTTTAAAAATAAACCTTTTTATACCTAAATGTTTGTTACTGTGAATCTTTTTTCCCTGTGTCACTTGTGTCCCTCCTAGGAGTGGGGCCATGTTTCTGCTTTCAGGAGGTCTGGGATCTCAGAGCACTCTCTTCTGGGATGTTCCTGTAGTACCTGGAAATCCTTGCTCCAATCAGTGTTTAACAAAATCTTAATTGGCAGAGAGCTAGAACCCATACCTCTTCTCTCCAGGTTATGCCTTATTTGCATGTGGACTAGTTTCAAGGGATTCAGAGCCGTGTTCCAGGTAGTCTATAGCTTAGTGCATAAGGCATTCTTCTGGGAGCAGGAGGTCAAGTTCCCTCAGGCAGAAGAGGGTTTTTGAGCTGGATTTCCTATTTCAGGTGAGGGCTCTAATTATTGGGGTTGGTGGATAAAGGGTGGGTACTGGCAATTGTGGTTTGAAAGAAAGGGACAGCTTGGACATTAGCTCCAAGAAAAGGATTCACAGCTATGAACTCCTCACCTCCCCTTTAGCATGGGGCATGGTCTGTTTCTTCTGAGCATCTGTGAACCAGCCACTTCTCTGTCCCTGCTGTGGCAGGGCATTGGCGGTGCCCTTGCTTCCCTACTTTTACCTACCATGTTACATGGTGTCCTTGCCTTTTGGGGTGTTGTGTCTTGTCGTTATCTCTGGGGGTTTGAAGTGGTGGTTTGGGGGATTTCTTGCCTGTGAATGCAGGGGACTGGGCTGCATCTCAGGAGGCCTCTTCCAGCCCTGTGCTCCTAATTCTATATTGAAGGAGGCACCTAGTCCTCTTGCTGCTTCTCAGCATTTTCTTTTCACTAGCTGTAGGGGACTCCTTGCCCAATGTGCTGGCAGTTGTGGATCCCATTTTTAGGCACCTTACTCTCCCTGTGCATTGCAGTGAGCTAGGGACAGAAACAGATCCATGATTTTACAAAGGGGTGTGTGATTGCAGTGCGTGGTGCTGCAGGGGTGGCTGCACCCCCTGTTCCCAGCCTCCTCCCCACTCTCCCTCCCACCAGCGCCACAGAAGCAGCAGCCAGGAACTAAGTCCCAAAAAGGTAGGAATTTTTCCCTTCACTTCCCCTCCATGTTCAGAGGCACAACCCCTCCCCTCCCTTTTTCGTCCTCTCCCCTCCCATTCTTCCCTCCCCTGCTGCCTGTGTCTGTGCTGTCACAGGAGCAAGGGGAACTCCTGTCCCACTGCCAGAACAGATGGTTTCAGTACCATCTTAAAGCAGTAGTAAAGGTATAGTGACGCAGTGATAGAAGTGGTTTGCTACAGTATGAGAGGTTTGAGTTTTGCTTTAGAATTGTGTCATGAACAGCCCCCTCTTATCCCAGCTATAAGTTGGATACTTGGTTGTTTGTGCTCAAGAATCAAAGGTAGCCAGATGTGTTGCTAGGCAGAGAATCATTTGTGTGCAGTTAGCTACAGAAAGTGGTGTGCTTTCACCGTCAGCGTTTGGTGGACCTTTACGCAATTTTACAGCATTAGTATTGCTAAATCAGAGACCTGTGAGTTCACATGACAGTGCAGGGCATCTCAACGACAAACTAAAATCTTTTGGTCATTTTTGCTAGTAGGTAGTTAGAAGTATTTGGAATTGTGCATTAAATATGGGCTTCACCTCTCTCCTAAAGGCAAGCGTGTCTTGGCTGATCTCGTATGGCGAGCTTTAAACTAGCCTCGCTGGGGGAGGGGGCTGCAGGAAGACGTGGAGACACCACCTGAGCAAGACAGGTGACACATGCAAGGAGTGCCCAGGTAAGAAACAGGGGTCCAGATGGTTTTCCTAATCGGGGGGTGGCACGCGCAGCTATGCAAGGCCTTAAACGCCTATATACCAATGCTCGTAGTATGGGGAACAAACAGGAGGAACTTGCCCTCAGAATAGCCAGTTCAAACCCAGACATAGTAGGGCATACAGAAACGTGGTGGGATTCATCCCATGACTGGGCAGATAGCATTAGGGGCTATAGACTCTACAGGCGGGATAGAGAAGGAAGGAAGGGAGCGGGTGTGGCGCTCTATGTCAAAGAGCAATATACATCCTCTGCCAGCAAAATGGGGTCAGAGGAGGGGCAAGCTGAAGTGCTCTGGGTCAAGATACAAGGGGGTCGTGGGGAGAGGGATTTAACGGTGGGGGTCTACTACAGATCCCCCAGCCAAGGGGAGGAGCTGGACTGGGAGTTTTCAGGCCAGCTTGCAGAGGCACTTAAGGCAAGGGATGTAGTTGTCATGGGTGATCTAA